ACCACGACTAGATTTTTCAGTGACAGAATGGGGTAGCCGCCGCGAAGCAACCTTCCTTTCTTTGAGGTGCCTGCGATCAAAGTTCAGTTCAGCCTGGATCTCCATGTGCAAACGTTTGACGATCTCGTTGGTCGAGTGGCTTGCACATCGGTTTTCATGGGGTCGCCATCTCTGAGGTTCCGGGTCCGGTCCCCGGTCGGGTCTCTATAGACAATAACTTTTCTCCATTGTCACGGGCCTGGGCGTTTTGTGGTACCGTCGTTGTATCCAATTTCCATAACGCTAGTGCTTTAGTTACTTAGTTTGGCATCAGAGCAATGTATGTGATGTTATAATATTGTAATAATTTATTGTACAGAAAAATTAAACATGTTACATGGCAAAGATTATAATGAAACAGGTTTTGTACAACAGTGTCTAAATAGGTGGCGATACATTCCACCCCTGAACTAGATGGTGACCTGTGTCTCAGGGGTTAGAGTTACTCGACGCATAATGTCAACAAAAATGTGTTGTCTAATACACGTATTCATTTATTTATTTAAATGTGTCAATTCTCCTGCAATAGCCACTCTGTCTCTGATAACGTTTCATGAGTTACTGCGGTTGGTGCTCGGCCGGGTCTGGGTTCATCGTTTAGGTTCTCTCGACAATGTTTAAATTCTTCGACACCAATAAGTAATTGTTTCTAACGTAAGAGCAGACTCCCCAAAGGCAGCTTGTAAATTAATAATAATAATAAAAACGCACACATTCAAAATAGCCCCGCACTAGGGAAACCCTGTGTCGCCGGTGCCATGGACACACACATAGACAACCACAAATTACACTCAAACTCACGAGAGAAATAAATGTAGACATACAAATACAAACATTTCTCCCCAGCTTGGGAATCGAACCTGGGACCTCTGCGTGGCAGTCCGGCCTGGTAACCTTTGGCCACAGAGGCAGTTAAAATTGTCATGAGATTAATTGAAAGTTAGGCTGCTGTAAGATTGACTCCATGTTTACAGTTAATGCGTGAAGTCGTTATCAACTTCATGCAGTCGTGGTCTCGGCATACAGTCGATGCTGTCGATCTCGACTGCATGAAGTCGGTTTAGACTGCTCGAAGGAAGGGTTCAATTAAAACTGCATTAACTTCAAATTTCCTTTTTTTTCACGATACAGAACATAGTGTAGTTACTTAGATAAATACCATAGAATTATAAAAATCGTGTAATTAATTCACATTTGTATTGTTTGTTGTTATATTCTGAATAACTTTGTAGTTTTAATTCAATTTAAAAATTACAAAATTATTTATCACTTGCCCCATTACACGCTATCGTCAAGTTTCACTATACCAATGGAAATTGTCTCGTAGCTCTTATACTGTAATAAGTATATTATATATGATTTGTCTGTATACTGTATAATTTGTCTTAGCAATAAATTTATAAGTGATTTTGTTTCCTTTTTCATACAAAAATATTATTAATATTATATTGTTAACGGAAGTTCTGGAAGAATCCTGAAGATACTGCTACCGAGACATTTTTTATGGGAATTGTGAGACTATACCTCACATTTTTGTATACACTAACTTTTGTGCGAATATAGATGATTTAGTCGGGTGTGTTGATTATTGAATCGCTCTCAATATTAAAGAATAATAGCTATAAAAAAGGTGTTTCAATTAATTCCTAGGTTCAAGCACCTGAGAAATTTCACTGCAGGTAAAATAAACTTATCTGCAGCGACATAGGGAACGATTCATTATAACGCCACCCATTAATATAAAATGACAATCTTATAAACACTTGTCATAAAAAGATTCACAAATACATAGTTCTTCAGTCTCAGAATATATTAATTCAGTCATTCGGTGCCCAAAGTAATTCGGGCAAGAAGACTATAGTGGCTATATTTGTATTAATAAGAAGGTTTAATATATATGTATACGTATTCGAAAACAAGAGACTAAATTACAAAGACCTATCTATAAAATTGAGAAAATTTATAACTAACAATTTTACGATTTAAATATTCTAATCACATGTAAAGACTTTCTTCACTAATACATGATTTGGTTGGACAAACAGCATCAGCCGTTAGATGGCAATAAGGCCCGCCCAATGAAAGAACAGCACGGCAGGGTATTTGTAGGTGTACATTATAATAGTAACGTACCTTAACCTCCTAAGTCCCAGTAAATTACAATGGAAAAAACGCCCAATGTATCGTCAACAGCATATCATGCTATACACTTTTGCGCGAATAGCACCTCCACTGCAACGGAACGAGATTCGTCAATGTGTAGCTTGATGTATACTGCTATCTGTATATTAAAATGTACTAAATATAATTACATGCTTCAAGTCATGAAATACTTATTTTTCTATATACATTTTGGAATATAAAATAGCGCCTAATTAAATGCGATATTTTTATTATACGTATAATATATACTGGGCGTTTACGTGATCATGGAAATAATATTTTCTGGATGTGAATCATTGTACGTATTGCGTACATTTTGTTGTACACGGCCTTAGGAGGTTAATGTTAGGACATTGCAGTTGACAAAAGATCGTAGCTATATATCATCCTAAATGTATGGCTATAACCTCCTTAATACCTCGGCAGCCTTCGGGATGCTTCGGCAGGATATTTTCCTTCTTGGAATATAGTTTTCTTCTTGTTCTTCAGCAAGACTACCACTTTTAAGTATACAACTGGTATTGAATCAGCTTGCAACGTTATGACTGATTTGAAGACACACTAGAAGCGAGCACAATATCGCCACGGTATGCTTCGGCATGCCTAAACATACCGCGGCATAATCGACGTCAGTGTGCGCTTGCAGGTAGGATTGCCATAGGATCCCTTGTCATGCCGTTCAGGTAACGGGCGCAGGGTCCAACTAAACATGTACTGCCCAACAAAATGCCACAAGGTACAGTACTGAGTTAAACCCCAGGTAAACCCCAGGTTTAATAACTGTGTATTGGCTGTGTATTATATCGCTAAGGACACAAAGACAAAGATACTGAACTGAATGTCAAGTTTCACTAACGGGAGACGCACTTAAAAAAGAAGGAGATTATACAGCGCTCTCTGGATATGATTGCCACACACGACTTTCTGTTTTCTGTCAATTGTTAGTAGTGCGAGCAAAGCTTGTAGCCTCTCCATTTTGCTTTTGCAACCTGTTCGTTCAGTAAATTTGACCCTGTACTTAAATAATTAATAATAGATCATATTAAAAGCCGCATGATGCGAATGTAGCTTCATACCTGACGTTGTCTTTTCATTTGGATTTGTAGCATCTACTCTCGATCTCCGTCCGACACAATTACTGTCACTAGATTTTAAAGCTGCAGAGCTGTTGAATTAACCGATACTATCTAAATTTTCTAAAAATTTCACTTTTTAATACCATTTTATACTATTTCATACTCCGCAGCGTTGCAAGATTTTCCATTGTTTTTAATAACATGTGTAATCAAAATATTGAAAAAATACTTATTTTTATTTAATAAACCAGATGCTAAATAACGCAAGCAAGTTTTTTCTTCATCATGTAAAGTTGTCAAAGTTGAGATACTACCGGTTGCCAGTTCACAGTCGATACATGAAATCATGTGCATACACTATTGTAGATATGCTATTGTGAATTTTCATCTGGTTTTGCTACAATGCTTTGTTGTTGCGTAGTACGAAGAGTTGCTATAATAAACACGAACGGCTTCACGAGAGGCTACACGCTACCAGTAGGAACAGATCTTGTCAAATCCAAAATGTTTTACTACAGTTACTAATAGCTCCGTGTGTCAGTTTATACTGGAAATGTATAGCTGTGGCCGTGCGTTCCAACATTTGTGCAGTTGTTTGCCTACGAGGATCAACAGATAAAATCGTATTATATAATCTCAAAATGCTTAGTCGCTGCGCTTACCATGATGATTTCAACTAACATATTAACTTTACACATTATTATGTTTAGTTTTTCTCATCACTTTATCTTTGTAATTGGTAAGTAAATATTGCTCACCATAGAAATGCTCTCTACGTTAACTATCAAACAGAATAGACAACGTTAAAAATGCACATTAACAAACACGCAAACAGGATAAAAAATCCTTTTTTAAGGAGTGCCTTGATATTAGTAACGACTACCTTAGTGATAATCTTTTATAAAAAGATAGACAAGTTTCTTTTACTCTGATATGGTGCCCTTTGACATCAAGGTTCGTTAAAAGATGAGTTCAAACCGCGTAATTAACCTTTCGGAATGCGTATGAATTTGTGCACAAGCACTAGCAATTTAAAGAGTGAATTGTAGTGTGGATAGATATAGGAAAAAAGGGTAGTGTGTGTACCCAATTATTATAACGAGTAACAGGTTGCATGAAAAATGAAAGAGGATGATGCTATTTAATTAACCGTATAATATTTGTGATATCTTGAAATGAAAATTGTTGGTTGACAAATACAACCAATGATGAAAAGTGGCCAGTTTTTCCAAGTCATTTAGTGCAGTTATCTTATAAGAAAGACATACATACATATGTAGGATTTGTAGGTGTGTGTGTGTGTATATATATATATATATATGTATATAATATATATACATATATACATTCATCATAGGACTTGTAAACTTATGTCTCAGGGTCAGGATGGCTTTGCAACTGTTACGGACAGGTGCTATACCAGGCGCACGACTAGTTCGTCCCGATCCCAATAGGTATCGTTAAAAAAATCTATTGTGCTGTGTCCTTAATGGGGCAATAAGCTTTGTGAGACAGCGCTACATGAAGTGTATATCACCATCCCGCTTTTTTGTCGTTACGAACCTATACCGAACTCTAATAAGAGTTCATGGTAAGGCCCCTGTTCAGAATTAAAAAATAAATTGGGACTTTAATATTAATCCACAAGACTTCTTCAATTTTTATTACTGTGTACGTACATTTTCGGATTTTTATTGTCACTTTTGTTGGTGGAATTTCAAATTCATAACTACAACACTTTTCAAACACCTGTTAATATATTTTTTAAAATATTCAATGCATCAACTCTTTCTGACCGCTACCCAGCTTTTAAGGCAAAGAAGTAGTCTAACTACCTAATGGTCTAGTGATGGTTGCACATTCAAGATGAGCTCTGAACTGCCATTCCATTGACACTCTATTGAGACTTAACTGCCATTGCAACAGGATTTTAGCAGAATGACAAATATTATCATATTTGCAATATGATCTTAGTGGAGTGGAGGAGTGGAGTGCTCAATGGAGTTATAAGGACCAGAGACTTGGAGCTTTGATAATGATGGTATTTCGGCTGTAATCCGAACGATTAGTTTTGTGTTTTACAAATGTAAGTGCGCATTTGATCTGTTGGAAAGTGACGATGAAGTTGACGATGGATATATTTTATATTATTATAGGATATATATTAGATACTAGAGCTACCATTTCATAAAAGTAGCTTGACTACCTTTTTTAGCCAATATTCGTATGATGCAGATATATTTAAAATCTATTTATTTATCATCACTCTTATTGCGAAAACGAAGACACGTAGTGTAGATATTACATCCGACAAGTTACAAATTTCGACGTTAAATTAGTAGTTTAGTTAGTAGACGTTTAATTAGTTCATGCGCTTGAGACTATCATTGCAGATGTCACACCACTTATAATTATTTTTTTTTCTGCAATATTACTCTAAATGGTACTAAAGTACGCAATTATTATATATTTGGATGATATTTTCATGTGTATATGATGAGATGAGATGATAAATGAATTTGGCTAATTTTAAATCCCTCATTATCTTCAGTTCAGTAACAGCCGGATAACTGTGTGTCGTTAACTCGTTCGTCGATAAATTTTCAGTTTTTTTAACACTAAAACTCATGAAACAATGTCATTCAAGACAGATTGTACCAGAATTAAGAACATTCTTTTGCAGTGACCACATGACCTATCTGGATATATCTGGGCCCTATACAATTTTCTGTGTTCTTGGCAATTTAAGAGTAAACGAAACAAAAGACACCGCCAAACAATCGCGACTCAAACAAGGTAACTTTACAGACGTTTACAGTATAGTTGTTTTTACCAGTATGTACAACGTAACTTAATAACTAAAAATATATTTTAATAAATACCATTATAAAGGGTCTTGCTTTTGAAGTGGAACAATATTCAAACTGATAATAATGACTGAAGATATGTGAAAAGAAACAAATCAAGCGATGTTCCGTTGAACTATCTTCTACTGATTAGATTACAAGCACGCATCACTCTGTTTTCTATTCTCCGCTTCGTAGACGTATAAAGAATAATACGTCCATCATCTTCAGCCTTTTTGTGTTCGGTATTATAGGTACGCCTCGGCAAAATGTTTAAATCTAGGACTATTGCAAGGTGTCCGTGCTTCTCGTAGTTATTTCCAACCACACAGCAGTCTTCCTGTTCAGCTACTTTAATGTAGCCATTCACATGCAGATGTCGATATGGATAACACATCTTGGTACTGCATGAATACGCTTAATCTTTTTATTTTCACAAAGGTGCAGTTAGAACATTGTACACTGTATAGGTGTTATTTGAAATCTTCAGTGAGATATTTGTCTCGTAAGTTTTTCGAACACGATGTTTCTTAGAATCGTGTTTTAAATTTCACTACGATTTCTCAGGCATTATAAAGTAAGACCCTCTTAAATCTTATTTAGATCTACAAACACGCATCACTCTGTTTTGTCACTAGAGTCCTTATTTTCCGGCTGGCATCAATACACCTGAAAAACAGGAAAAAATAATAAATTAATATACAATACCGCCTTTTGTTGTATGGGTACTTATATATAAAGGAAAATGCCAGACACACAATGTTTATAATTATTATTATTAAAAAAAATACTTTAATATTGAAATTTGCGTAATTAAGCTTGAAACACGTACTGGAATAAAGTAATAACTTAATATAAAATAGAAAGTAATCATTCTTTATAACAAAGTATATGTCAATGTTAATGACCCTTCCCATGTGTGTCTATTTAGAGGAACTCTAATTGATGCTGTCAGCGCAAAACTGGTGTAAGTGTAATGCCATGAAATTGCATTTGGAGGCCTTACTTTCTCAAACTCGTATCTAATAAAGAGTAATTAATCAGGAAATGGCAAAATCTTTCTATTTATTTTAAATTTCTTATCAAGGGTGTTAACTTGGATGCATGGCTTTAATAATAGGTAAAAGCCTGTCAGTGAATTTGTATATCGACCCCTCCTACGTTAAGGGTCGTATGTCGAAATTGCCAAGTTTACAGGGGAGTACTTTAAAGTTCTGAATTCACTCGTTAATCACATAGAGTGATCATCTAATAGATCATCTAACCGATATCTAGAATTTTATAATGTTCTATGTGATTAACGAGCTTTGCCGAATAAAACTGAGAAATGCTAAAGTCACGTATTATGCTTATTTCAGTGAATTCAGAAGTTTAAAACGCTCCCCTGTAAACTTGGCAACTTCGACATACGATACTTTACGTAGGAGGGGTCGATATACTTACAATCCATTTTTTGCATTTCAGTAACTTTGAACTTTAAGATACGAGTTTCAGAAAGTAAGGCGACGATTTGCGTTGCCAGCCTTTGAGAGCACGAGGGCACTGTTGACTCGTTTTTTGGAGAACCTCACAGTGCAAAGGAGCAATCGTGCAGGAACGACCTTTCAACGAAGGAACGAACTTGATGCCTGGCACTCTAAGAGCATTAGAGTGCCAGGCATCAAGGATGTGGGGATGAGTTCTATTTCTTTGGCTGGAGGTGCGATGGTGGAAACGTGCCAGTTGCACCAGTTCGGAAAGTTCCCCTGAGCTCCAAGGCTGCTAATTTTAAATGGTAGGATTTTGTACGTTTGGTATTCTGCTGAAAGTTAAGAGTCAGTGGCTAGCCCTTGAGCTACTATTCAAGTGCCATTGCAAGTTTTTTATTTTAGGTGCAACCTATACTGAACTGTAATAAGAGTTCATGGTAAGGCCCCTGTTCTTCAATGGCGAGTCGATAATGGTACGTGGACGGCGTAATCCACTAATTATATCATATAAAGAAAATATATTTAATTCGATGACTAAATTGCTCTTTAAACGAGATAAAAATGGAGATTATGCTTATTTCCATGGTAGTTTTAGTAAGGCAACGTCATCATTAGTCATTTATTTAATGATTGAATGAATGCCATTACTGCCATACCACTGACATTCTATTAAAACTCAACCGCCATTGCATTTTAGTAGAATAACAAATATTATCATAATCGAAATATATTTTTTTTTACTCGGGACGACCAAGTAGCGACACGCTTATCCATAACCGTTGCAGTTACAGTCTGAGTGGCACGGCAATTCTTATGGATAGGCGTGCAGCTTACCACCAACCTCGTCACTTGATATAATAAAAAACAAAGAACACACACAGTGCCAACTTCTCTATGCAGGCCAAGGAACTCCAAACAGTCTGAGTTTCGGATTGTCGACTACAGTCTACACGAACAGCCCGACGTTGTATGAAGTTAATAGATAAAACTAGTATTTGGGAGCACCAATCTAGAGACGTGACCAATACTCGCTATAAAGCAGGTGACCCGGTGTAAAATATTGCTCCTCTCTACAGAGCCCTACAAGGTTTTTTGAAGCCAGTTTGAAATAAAAATGAAATGGAAAGAGGATGACGAAAACCGCGCAGTTCATTGCACGTCTCCGTGATATATTCTGCAGAATAAACTATTGGCATCTGATTCTGGTGCACTTAATGTTTTTGAATTACGCCATATTTTGGTAAACATATTTAGATGTTTGGTAAACGGGCCTTATTCAAAAATGTGGACTAGATAGTTATGGACGTGTAACCTTAACACCGTAAGCCATCTCGTAGCCGCCCTTGCTCTGCATCTGGTTCTGGATGGAGTGCAGCAACGACGACGGCATGTCGATGTCAGTTGAACCTGGAACGTACAATATGTACATATTAATGTTTACCAGTTGTATATTCTAATCTGTTTGGTTCGTAATCTTTTTGGTTCTCATAGTCTTTTTTATTCGTTTTTTTTTTAGTTTTCTTTTTTTTTTTTGAAAAAGTTGTGTACAATCGATGAATCGATGATACATTCAAATTCTAAATTTAAATGTACTCCTTTTTGACGCCTTTTAAATGATTTATCATTGTTCATCTTTTGTGACTCGTGTATATAGTGTACATTGTTTTCTCAGTTTCTGTTTAACGTTTGTGAAATATTGCAAGTATATTTTCTGTTGTTTCGATCACTCGTCGTTAGCAGCCGAACCTTATTTATACAGACCATCACAATGAATATTAATATTAATATAACCTTAGAGTCATTTAATTAAACAGTAAGGAAGGAACAATAAATATTAAAAATTAAACTATATCATTTTTATTACGTGAATGGCACGTACAGGTGATATTACAAATGAAAGCATATAAGTGTTGTACCTTCTATTATTTGTTCCATTGAAAAGGTATGGCACAGGCGCCAAGGAGCCCAAGAATTCGCAATAAATAAAACCATGAATCAGCACTTACGCACAATACTCGCATGGCATTTAAAAACATTTTATTGATATAAAACAATTATTTTAATATTTTTTCGTTAATTTTCATATTTTTTAAAATATTTTTTTAATGGTAACTCTAAGGCGCTACAGTACCAAAATCGCTAAAGACTCACGGCGCTTTTGTTATAGATAAGATATTAAAAGATATCATGTTAGTAAGACATCGTGATATTCAATACACTTATTAAGTAGTCTTTAACTGTCTCAGTGGCCGGATGGTTACCATGCCCACCTCGATTCCCGGGCCGGGAGAAATATTTGTATGGCCCTCATTTATTTCCTTTCCCTAATGCGGGGATATGAGCGTGTGCGTTGTTGTTGTTGTATATTTAAATAAAATTAAAAATATAAGAAAAACGGTCTACTCCTCATATATACCGAAAATGTTGTATATATCGAGTGGCGATAACAGCGGCCTTGACGTGATCGCTGGTGGCAATCAACAGTCTTTATTCGAGTGTTACTCAAACACTGTGTGACTCATGTTATTTTATTTTGAAATTGTTTCAATTCACACCCGCTACTGATTGCTATGTAAAGTCAACGGCACTCAGAACTGTACACTTTGGACTTTAGGTCGCTCCTATCGTATCTGCTGAATGCATAAAGTAACGTGATGCAAGGCGAATTACTGAAGCAATTGTATATAGATGTAGTTACGTCTTTATATACCCATATATCGTAAATAGCTGTTGTACGAAAAGTGAGCGGTAACCTTCACATTGCAAGTCTATTTATTAGAATTCACTGTAACAATTTAAGAAGTGAATGCAATGCACTTGAGCTACAATAATAAGGAAAAATCGCTTTTTGTTCCTTGTAAGGTTGCCCAAACGTTTTCTTCTCCCGAGAATTTACGTAATATTTAATTTTTAATTTAATGAGAAAATGATGAAGAGCTAGTTTGGCATCTTCCTGTGAATGTCGTATTAAGTGACTAAGGAATCTAGGTTAGACAGACAGACAGTTATAAGTTAGTTAGTAATGTACACACGGTATCATAGGTACCTACTTATCTGTCGTGTAGTAAACCCGGTTCTTTATTAACATCGCTCGTCAAACCAAGTTTGTTTTAATGTAAGTATTAGAAAGTGAAGGTCATCAAAGTTGCAAGTGATATGAGTTGCAGAATTTTATAATAAATAATCTGTGAGGAATTCAAGGCTGAGGTCGCGGCGATGTTAAGAGGAGGCCACATACGAGCGTCTTCAATAGCAGTCACACACTCACAGACAATACATGGATAAACATTGGTAGTTATAAGTGGAAGTTGGTTTTTCGCGTCGTGCGTCGTAGTAGTATGATGATGCCATAGGCACTTTGCCGATGACACCATTACGAAAAAAGCACATAAAAACATCAGTAACGCCGCCGCCGTGGAGATGATATCATAATCAAAGTACGAGTTTAGCATCGCGTGCTGCATGAATTCGGTTGCCTTGCCTGGGGCCCTACATCCGCAGTTTCGGCTGTTTTCCCTCTATGGATGACCTACAGATTCTAATTTCGATCAGGACCTCGAATCGATCTACTATTCTTTGTTAAGGACCTTTGCGAACTAGTATTGTTTGCTGACGATACATCATTGATTTTTAAAACAGACAGACACGACATTAACTATGATAATATTAACGATACTCTTTCAAAGGTAGTTTATTGGTTTAATGTTTATATAGAAATAAATGGAGAAAAGTTAGACCTTGTTAATAAAGCTGTCTTGTTGGGTGTGACCATAGTAAACTTCTATGGTTTCCACATATATTTTCTTTAGCCAGCAGATTAAGCTCTGCTACATACGCAGTCCGTAGAATACGTGAGCTTACCGATATTGCTACTGCTAGACTAGTTTACTTTAGTTACTTCCATAGTATAATGTCCTATGGGATTCTCATGTGGGGTAAAGCGGCAGATATACAAACGATATTTGTGTTGCAAAAACGAGCGATTCGTTCTGTGGACCGTTCTCGGGTTTGTCTCAGAGAAAAGTTTAAGGAGACTGGTATCATGACTGTGCCATCGCAGTACATTTACTAAAATATTTTGTATGCCCGTAAAAATATACATAATTTCATTAAGAAAGAAATTATCCATAATATTAAACTCATGGTCCACGATTTCTTAAACGATTCTTTTGTGGGGAACTGTATACGTTTTTACAATAAGATTGCGGATAATATATTAAGATTATCATTTCCTAAGTTTAAAACTTACATTAAAAGTATTTTAATTGAAAAGTCATATTACAAAATTGAAGAGTATGTTTTAGATAAAGAAGTATGGAAAGACAAGAAGAGTCTAGATTCCACACAATTATGATTTAAAGTGTATTTCATAACATTTAGTTAATTGAAAAGAGCAATCCCTAGAATTTCTTGCTCGTTCTTCTCAGGGAGGTCAGCGTAGTTAACGAGCAGTAGCTTAAAAATGACGTTTCAAGTGAAAAAATTTTACTTGGAATAAATGATTATTTGACGTTAACTTTGACTTTGACTTTGGGCGATTTGACAGTTTTGAACGGGCCCGTCTTTTCCATTTCCGTAATTCCATAGGTCATCCACAGTGTGAAAACTGCCGCTATTACGAATTTCGTGCTTCAAGAATAGGGCCCCTGGTGTACTGCAACGCGTACATTGCGTGCCTTCAAGTGTGCGGCAACCCTAAAGCGATAAACCGTGTGTCACGTTGTTTGTGTTTGTGGTTTGCGTGAAATTGAATCTGGCGGCGCATTGCATGTAACGATGCGTCATTCGACAAAATATTTTAATGTCCGTTTTAATAAACTCCTTAAAGTTATTAGTGTGAATCGTCATTCACTGATTTACCAACGCACGACTGCTACACGTAAAAAACTGTTCGGATTGACGTCAACTGCTAGCATCAAGATTTGTAATTACTTAATTTAAAGAAATTGGATGTGTTTAGAGAAGACTCTTCAGTGGCAGCGGTTTTGTTTGAAACAAAGTCTTTTTTCAAAATCAAACAAGTATTTTCAGTCACAGTCTAACAATTCACCCCGGAGATTAGGTCAACCCTTGCTGTAACAAAACTCGCATTCTTGGTAATGATTTGCGATTACAATTCGTTCTGCGCGATTCATTACCAACGTGTAGTTCTATTACCAGGATTTGTAGAAAAAAATAACGTGTTCCAGCTTAACTAATCCAATAATGTAATGTTGCCCCTTTGAGTCTTTTTATATCGACGGACAGATTATGTTCTTACTTATTTAAGTGTTAATTAGGGTTAAACTGTTATGTACCTTAATCCCATTGGATTTGAGTTATACGTATATCATTATCGTGTGAAATCTAATGATCGATTAGCATCGCACTCAAAATGTGCCACGTATCATGTAAGTATTACTAATAAAGAAATTAATTTAATTATTGTAATAAACGTTATAACACAAGTGTGACGAAAAATAGATTATGAAGTAACCGTCGCTTAGAAGCAGTAAAAGAAAATTCGCATTGCATCATCAGCAGCAAACACTGTGAAGTAAAATGTAAAATGATGACATTCGCATTTATATTGCATTTATAACGCTGACCAGTGAGGTTATTTTTTCATAATCATAATCATTTAATTGTTGCATCACACGGGTAATGTACAAAACTTTTTAAATTAATGTAGAGTCCAGCCATGTAACCCTGCTGGGCACCGTAATTTATCTTACTTATACAAAAATTATAAAATTTATAATAATTCACATGGTACTTAATTATTTGGTTAAATCTATAAAAATAAAGCTTTACATTATGTAGAATAATATCAATAATAATACATTTAAGTTATAATAATAAATTTAAGGGAATAATAACATTTAGAGAAATGTAATTAATATTAGGTACATAATTGTATCAAAGGTTTCTGGCGTTTGTAATAATATCCATAACATATTTAGCTCTCAAAAAACTCTTGCAACATGTAAAAACATTCTTGTACAAAGTAACCATAAACAGTGGCATTAGTACTGAATTTTGAAAACGTAATTAATCTAATGTTCGTGTTGAGTTCTTTAGCAACATGATGTGCGGCCAAAATGGACCTATCAGTTTTAGCAATGATAGTCCTGCATAGCATAGTATTCATAAACCAATCTTTTAAAATAGTTCTTCCTAAATATTAAAGACATAAAATCATAATTTGGGGTCAAACATTTGGTTGTGCAACCGCAGAGCAGTTCGCCCAATCATAGGTTGAGAATAATCTTTGTAATACATATACTGTCTTAATGAACAATTTACACGAAGAAGGAAGTAAAATATCGCTTTAGCCTATTTTATTAATATAAGTGTAATATTCGATACTCGTTGCCTATAGAATACTTCAATTTTTTTCTGTATTAATTCATATTGTAATTACTGTT